AATAATAAAAAATATATATATATATATATTTAGTATATAGTGCATCCTATATTATCTTATATATATATATATATATAGTATATATATATATATATATATATATATATATATATATCTGTCACTAAAATCACAAGATCAACATTTTTTCTGTGTTGTGTTTTGCTCAGGTGGAGCGCCTCAGGAGCATGGCTGAGGTGTCTCTTATTTTCTTCTACGCTCCGTGGTGTGCCCACTCCATGGCTGCTCGACAGGAAGTACAGCAGGTGGCGAAGAAGCTGGCTAAACAGGTATGAAAAGACTCCAAATATCACTGTCACGGATTGTTTCAAAGCCAAATAGTGATCTATTTACTGTAATTTTATTAGAAAAACACTAAATAAGCCTGTTTTTACATTGACACATTATAAACATCCACCCACCTGTGTCTATAGAGTCATTTTCTGCTGCTTATCTGTGGGTGAATTGCATCAGGAAGGACACCCAGCGTACAATTTGAGCCAAAACAAACATATGACAACATCATGGATTGGTGGACCTCCAGTGCTGTTAACCAGCAGGGTGCTGGTGGAAATTGGACTTAAAGGCAGCAGCCCCTGACAGTGGAGCAGCTAAAAGGCAAAAGATTTTCTGAGTTTGGGTCTTGGAAGAAACGGGTCCAGGAGGGTAGTGTTATAATTGAGACCACCTAACCTGAGACCAAGTCAAGACCAAAATCAGAGTGTATTGAACGAGACAAGACCAGGACTTTTAGGGGCTGGACCAAGTCAAGATCAAGACCAAAATTCAAAGAAAATGAAAACTAGTTCCCTAAAACAAACAGAATGCTGTACACAGGTGGCTAACTTCATATAGCTTTTGACTAAATCTCTGTTTGCGGGCTGGATAAAGATTTTTGGTACAGAGGCAGATTGCTAACATTAGCTAGCTAGCTTTGCTAAGATCACTTACATATAGSTTACCTTTCTAAGTGATGATATAAGTTTGACGTAGTCCCCACCGTCTCTGAAAAACTGCAGAATTTACACGTTTCTGAAGGCTTTCTGTTGGATGTTGTTTTACTAATATAATTCTTTATAGGGATGCACGATATATCGGCATTCATATCGGTATCAGTCCGATATATAAAACTGGGCCGATATTAACATCTGATATTGATTTCCCACTTTTTAGCATTGTGTTTGTGTTTTGGGAGGGGAGATGGTTGGTTGAGTGGTATCTGTTTGATCATGATAGTGATGTTGATGCTGTGCAGCCAGGAATAACTGAGCCATATCAGAAGTGTGGTCGTTTATTTACGGTATCAAGAAAAAACCCAAGTGTGTTTGTGCGTATATGTATAATATAATTTGCGTCTTTGTGTAATATTGGTAAATATTGGTTATCGGCCGTAACGGCAATAATTATATCRATATTGGCTGAAATTTTCATATCGGTGCATCCCTAATATTTTATGATTTATGTACTGAATTGTATTATATCGCCCACTTTTAGATAACCACTGCTCACTTTCTTGGAGTGCTGCGTGAGAGTGAAAGAGGGTGAGGATGGGTGACAGCGTTATCAAAAATACATAATTATCAATGAGTCACGCTTAGATTTGAATCAGAGCATTTTACATCCAATGAAAACATATACGTTAACAAATAAATCAGATTATATTCTGGCAATAGTGACATTTCCACAGTTGTGGAAATAAAATCCAGAGTCTTCAATGTCTAAGACCGAGATCATCAAAAACTGGTTTTAACACTGGTCTCAAGTACAACACTACCAGGAGGGAAACCCAGCCTTCCCTCTTCCCCAGCAGCACTCTCCAGCCCCTTCTGGAGGATTCAGTGGTGTTCCTGGGCCAGAGAAGATGCGTAATTCCTTCAATTAAAGAAAACTAATTTTCTCACCGCATCTTTGATTAATTTTGTCCAGCTGTAGACTAGGTCTCTGTCCAATCAGAGCCAGGTATTGTGTAGTTGGTGCTTTTAATCAGTTTTCAGTTCAATTAATTCAATCCAAGTCTATGGAACAGTCACAAAATGTCACCAAAATCACTCTGTCCCTCTAAAATCGTTCAGAAAATTTAATCGTATTGAATCGCATAGTTCGCTGAATATCGTGRTATATATTGTATCGTGAGCAGAGTATCGTATCGTATCGTGAGATTAGAGTATCGCTACAGCCCTAAGCGTGACAGATGGTCTGATCTCACTGAGGAAGTCTCTGAACCCAATAATCTGTATGTGGTGGGGTTTTGTTTGTTTCAGCTCTGTTTCGCTCTCTCTCTCTCTCACACAAACGCAGGTGCAGTTTGTGGCTGTTAACTGCTGGTGGAGTCAGGGCAAATGCAGGAAGCAGAACCGTTTCTTTCAGTACCCCGTCATCCACCTGTTTTACAGAAGGTAAGCATATCTTAAATAGCTGCATTTGATTTGAAGATGTTTAAAATGCATTAAAAACATGATTTTTCCTTTTTAATTGAGGAGTTTATCAGTTATTTAACATAAAAAGCCTGTCTGCATATAATCGCACACATTTAGGCAGCTGCTGACTTGAACTTTAAAAAAGGGTCAGTTCTTGTTTATGTATTCAGAATTTGTTTCTTGCACTGATCTGGAAAAACTGCATTTAAATATGCTGCTGACTTTGCATAGATTCACTCACAAAGCTTTTAGGAAAAAAACTGAGTTTATGAAAATTATAAAAAAATATTTATGAAAATTATATATAAAAAATTGTAACTCAGAGCTAGATGGTTAAATATGCTAATTTTTTCCTGTACTTTTGCAATGACTTGTGATTTTTATGTTTCATCACTGCTTACTCATTTTATGTTACGTCTTTTGCTGATTTCACTGAGTTGTTATGTATTACGTCTTTATGTCAGTGTGTTGTGCTTTTGCTGCTGTCCTGAATATTTGACCTGGTAAAATAAAAGTTATAAAACTCATTATATTCCGGATTTTCCTGTTGATATTTGCTGTTTGTTTGTTATTCTGCAGGTTTGGGCCAATAGGGTACAAAGGTCCCTTTATGGCTTCATACATTGAAAGTTTCATCCTCCGAGTCATCACACCTCTGACTTACCTCCCATCCAGAGCGCAGCTTGAAGAGTTCCTCTCATGTCACGAGGTATTACCTGACTTTACAGCATGAGATGAGGACCTGACAGAGTAGAGTTGTCAATGTATGTGTTATTTGTCTCAAATCACTGGTTGCACACCTACAACTGATTGACTTTTGAAGTCAACCCAATCCCCCCATCACAGCTAATCATTAAAGATCAGTAGTTTAAACAGAGTTTGAGCTAAAAGATTTAGAGTTGTCGAGTCTTTCCCAGTTCACGCTGACTGCAGGGCACAACAGAAACATCAGTAGATGTGAACACTGTTTAGATTGAGTGTGCTTCAAAGAATTGGAAATAGACATGAACTTTTCTAGACCTCAAAGCATCACAAAGTACTGACATCATTTTCTGTAAAAAACGTCTGAAGTGTCCCTGGGTAAGACACTGAACTCCACATTGCCTCTGATGTTCCCCATTAGTGTATGAACACAGTGTAATGCCCTGAGGTGTGTGTGTGTGTGTGTGTGTGTGTGTGTGTGTGTGTGTGTAGTAGGGCAGGATGATATTAGAAAAAAACGGACATTGCAATTTTTTTCTAACAGCAATGTACATTGCAATATGAAAAAATACAGGAATTTTTCAACAATTGTCCGTAAATAACACTTTAAGTTATGCTGCCAAGATGTACCTGCTTTAATCGGACCTCTTTTTAGCGTGTGTTAAAAGTATGTTTTTTGTCTGTGTTTGAGAGTTATGCTTGTTATCTTTTATTGCTTGTTTTTATTGTTGTGGAACCTGATGTTACGTTTCCTTCTATCGCGTACAAACAAGAATTGTGCTTTACCACCTAACACGTTGCCTCTGTGTCGAGAAGCACTAATATTAGCATTCATGCTAAACCGAATTTTACATCATTTCCTCCTTGTTTTCGTCGAGGCCCTTGTCGTCTTCCTTCATAACTCGAGAATTCATGGACAACAGTTCTCCGAAAAACGCTGCCATTATTGTCCCAGAAGTTTTATGACAAAATGAAAGTTTTGCTTTTGTTTGTTTGTATAAGCACAAAGCGTTGTCAAAGTAAAAGCCATTTAGTGATTTATGGTGTACATTAGGGGTCGATGATACATCGGCCGGCCAATATTTGCGGTTTTTCCTTGTATCGGTATCGGCCKATACGTTCATGCGTTTGGCCGATCCATTCTTWGGGTYACGCGAGCGCATGTTGCCGCCCCCTCCCTGGGAGAAAGCGGCTGCTAATAAGACAGAGTGCCAACAATAATCAGGGTGAGTTATGAACTTTTAATGTGTTTTAACTGTCTAATTTAGCTGTTTCTGCCCTCTGTGTTGGAATATGAGGGGGAGAGAACAGTTGTGTGTTAAGTTTCACTTTCCAACGGGAGCGCCATGTTTGTAGTTTCACTTTGGCATCGGACTGTAATTAGTGTGTTCACATTGTTTTTCTTTAAAAAATGCTGGAACTGCTCACAGGAGGCAGAAGAACACCTCTATTGTTCTCCCTCTCGGTCTTTTCTCGCTGTTACATTCATCAGAGCGAGTAAAGAGCTGCCGTCCACCATGTGAACCAGGCAGACGCTGCTCAGATCACATTTGGTCTGACCGCAGTGTAAAAGAGGTGATGCAGGTTTTCTTCAGTGTACATTTCAAACTGAGATCTAAAGCYAACATCAGCTGGTTTAAATGCATTTTTTGCTCAGTGTAAAAAACAGGTGCAGATTGAGATTGGGGAATGAGGTTGCTGCTGTGAGCGCTGTGTGTGTTGAAGTCCTCACAAAGATAGCAATATGTGTGTGTCTCGCTCCTTTTTTTCTCTCTGTGTTCCTCTTCAGGCATGTTGCTGTTTTTGCATCAAAAATGCTGGGAAATTAAAAGTCATTATTTTATGTAAAAAAATATATTAATCTGATTAATATACAAATAAAAACAGAATATTTAGCACTAGATAGAATAAATCATGAATTTATTTATTTTTTAACTCTTTTAAGAAATGGCTGAAAAAGAAATCCTGTGTGGCAGCACTTCATTCAGCCTACAACAGACAAGACCCAGTTAATAAATGTTTCTTTTTTGTTTGAATTGAGACCTGTGTAATGTTTAACCTTTTTATTTTTATCAAGTTAATGGAGGAAGAAAAAGCAGTACTGGCTTCAAGAATCGGCCAAAAAAAAAAAAAAAATCGGCTGCATGTATCGGCGTATCAGTATCGGCCTTCAAAAACCTGTGTCGGTCGATCTCTAGTTTACATGTTGATTTAATTTGCCTCCTACAGCTCAGGATCTGCGATGTGACTATTGCGGACATGTACACTGCAATGACGATGCTCAAACAATATATTGTGCAGCCTAGTGTGTAGATGTGTGTATAGATGGATAAATGAGATCAAGTGCTTTGAGTAGCTTGTTTGGCTAGAAAAGATCTATACAAGTACAGTCCATTTATCACACCTTAAAAGCTCATAAAACATAATTTGCTGCTAGAAAAATGAATGACTGGCTGATGTGATTTATTGAAGAACTTGAAGCTAAATAATTTAAAACAAGAACAGAAGCTAAAATTGGCAAAAYCATTGCTGAATGCTAGAATGATCAAACGTTTTGAACACAAAGACTAAACGAGCCAGTGCGCGTAAGTAGACTTAAAAGTAAACATTTTAAATGAACTTAGAAGATTTCATTTTTTTATATGTAGAAAAAAATGTAATAAGTGAAATAATTTGAAACAAACGCAAGTAAAAAACAGTCATAGCACACTACAATGACGATTAGTTCATTATTTCCAAACTTTCAGGTTTTTTTTTTTGCCTTTTTAAATTGCTTCAACTGAATTTAAAAGTTGAGATAGCAGTTGAGATAAATGTTTTGATGTTTGATTTGTTAAAATAAATCAAAAGTATAAAGAAGGTTAGATTTAAAAAATGGAAGAACCTATAAATAGCCTTTTATTATTTATTAACTTTTTTAAAACAGGCTAATACCATTGAGATCACAGATCTTTTTTACAAGGGAGGAATGAACGACTCAGCATTCACACTGACCAGTCCGACCAGTCCTTGATTTTCATTCATCATTTTTGTTGCTTCTTAGGAAAAAAAAACTCTGTATTTTGTAACTGTCTGTCTCTTGTGCATTTCCAGCCTCGAGTGGTGGGTTTCTTCCAGTTTAATTCCTCTCCACAGCCACCGGGGTATATCACATATTTGTCCTCTGCTCTACAGGCCCTTAGAAGGGGTAAGAAGTGAACAAAGTATTTTTAGGCTGGCATTTTTCTGTTCATATTTGTTTATTCCTTTAATATAACATATTTACAACATATATATTTGACAGCTTGAAAGTGGTGAAAAGTTAGCAAATAGATTTAGGCCTTATACTGATTTCTTTTAAGTATACTGTGAATAATAATAATAAAAAATATATATATATATATATTTAGTTTCTGTTTTTTAAGTTTCTGGGTTTTGATGCAGATTTTCGTGGAGTTGTGCGCTTTGGAATTGTGACTAACAAGCAAGTGGCAGAAACTATCTCAGTTAGCGAGGATGAAACCATTTATCTGCACAGAAGATTTAACTCCTCCTTGGTAAGCTTCACCATCGCCAAGTCAAGGATAGACTGTGCTAAAACACACAAAACAAAATCTTGGATGTGCTTACTGCTGGTGTCACACTTTTCTTTTTTTCTTCAGATATTCCCTAGAAAGGAAAGAAACTTCACATCRAACGCCATCTGTAGCTGGGTGTTTGAACATCGTGAGACCATCCTCCAGTGGCTGCAGCCTCCTGGAACAAAGTCCCATCTTCTGGAGCAGGAGCTGACTAAAGGCCCAGCTCTCCTTCTGTTTGTGCCACACAATCCACTGGGCTCTCAACCAAACCCCATACTACAGCAGGTAATCAGCCATGGACACAATGGTCATTTAAGAAATGGAAAAAAAAAATTAATTTCTTTTAGTGCTAGTGATGCTTCATGTTGTATCAGTTGCGTTGTTCCACAAGGCTCAGTTTTCAGTCCCTTTCTTTTGTATATTTTTGTTTGTATCATACATTAATTTGTCTGGTTTACACAAAACAGCATAACTTCTGTTAGGGTTAGTCTCACCATCTGCTCATTCTGATATTTAAGAAGAGCTCACTTTTCCTGTCATCCATCCCCACTTGACTCAAAAAAATGTAGTTAGTTTGTAGAGACTGTGTATCTACTCGAACCTTGGCTGAAATGATCAAGAAATGTTTCAGTTTTAAAAGCTTTTTTCCCCACTTATAAAGGTCTGAATATTAGAAATATTCAGCTCTTTGATACTGTAGAAGATATAAATTTTTCTTWTTTTATTGGACTTTTTCTTCTTTTTCTTTCTTTATCTCATCTTTCATCTGATTTAGACATTAAAATAATAAAAAAAGATTAATTTAATGCCATGTTTCAACATATTTGTCAAGAAATTATAAAATGTAATTTGAATTAGCCTAAAATACAGCTACAATTTTCACCTTAAGACAACTTATGTTAACATGAAATGTGGAACTTGTAAAGTTTTCAGTAGTTTTATTTTTATTTATTTTTTCACGTTTGTGTTTTAGATTGGAGAAATTGCTCTGCGTTACCATTCCTGCGACCGCTCCAACTTGGACAACAGTTTCACCTCTCACTCCGTGTGCTGCCAGTCAGTTGTTCCCGCAGAGATGACTACAAGCGTGTGTGAGGTGTGCCTGAACGTGTCTGGACCGAGCCTCCCTGCCTCCCATATTCGCTGCTCGTTTCCTTCCATCACACAGAAAGGAGACGTGTTTCAGACTATTATCAAACACTGCTGCCTCCATCAACTACCTTCTTCCATCTCTATAAACGCTGCGACCTCAGTGGTCTGTTGCAGTTTCCTGAACAGCTACAGTCCCTTTACTCTATTCAGTGCCTGCTGCAAAAAAGCAGAACCTCATCTCAATGAATCACAAGCCAAAGAAGAGCCAGAYGTGCAAAGAGACGTCCCACCTTCTTCCCCCATCCCTCCGTCCTCARCTCCCCAGCAGGAGGAGGACAGCATCACAGGGCTGCGCTGTCAGACGAACAGGACGCTCAGATTTTATGTTCTGGATGTGGCTCTGAACTGGCCTCTGGCAGTGAGGCTCGGAGCGTCCAGCATCAGGAACGCTTCTCTGCATCAGGGGTCTTCAGCCCAGTCTGATGGGAGTGGCGATGGATCTTTTGCAGCTATCGTGAACCTGAAGGACGAGGTTCATTATGTTCTTCATCGCAGCCCAGCGACAACGCTGACTGAGTCTCTGGGTAAGATTTCATCACCTGATTCTGTTTGTGGCTTGTAGGGCGGAGAGTAAGCTTGTTTCTGAAGAGTTTCGCCTACCTGCACTAAAAAAATAAAACAGTGAGGGTGAAAGAGCCTTGAGCCTCTTTCTTAAGACAGCTCAGTCCGGGACTGACTCGTGTTCTGTCCTACTCCGAGCATTCAGAAAAAGCACGAAGGCGAGTAAAGTGAGCCCGCCTCCGATGCCCCTCTGAACCCCCAAGTGAGGTAGTATCAGAGCTCGAGCCTGGCAGACCAACTTGTGAAAAAGCAACCAGTGGCTCTGCAGCTCAGAAAATGATAATGAACTGATGACACCAGTGAGCGACCAAAGTATTAACCAACAGATTTATTAATGAGGAAATATTGAAGATGACACAGAACAGCAACTTGTGAGAAAAATATTCAACCACAGGATCGTTAAAAATCAATTATTTATGTTCATTTGTGTGTGTGTGTGTGTGTGTGTGGGGTGGGGGGGGGATAGGCATGTTTTTGCCTCATCATGGAAACCATTTTCCAGAAAAAGTCAATTCACCGTCCCCATGGATATTTTAAAACAAAGCTGTGTGTATTTGATCCAATGGAGACAGACGTCAGCTCGAGTGACTGCAGGATTAATCAACAGATTTACTACAGAGGGAATATTTAAAACTACACRAAACAGCAACTTTGTGGTTGGTTTGAAGAATATTGTGAGCGGGACCTGCTGGCTTCTGTGATGAATGACCCGAGGGAACTTAAAGCCGGACTGGTCTGTGCGACGATTTTGTGGAACTGTCTTGTGAAATAGGCTTTGATGGGATTCTTTTCTCTTTAAAGAGTAATTAAACSCAAACTGAAGGTTTTTTTTGCAGATAGTCTAAATTGTGCCTTAATAGTATTATTTAATTAATTWATTTTTTTATCTCTTTATTTTCTGTGCTAGTTTTGACATTTTCTTGTAAATTTGTTTAATTCTGAAACATTTTGTCTATAACCATCTTAGTTTTCCCCTCTATGGTTTGAATGGTTGGCTACTGCAGTTAAATTTTCCTTTTGGTTAAGTACATGMTTACATTACTTGATACATGCTTATATCACAGCTCCATTCAGGTATAAAAGCCTTTCACTCAGAGACACGCCCCTGCAGCGAATCCAAATTTGAAACAGGAAACTTTACAGTTTGTTAAAAAAGAAAAAAATTGTATAGGTCTTCTGGACGGGTTCTTCTCTAATGAAACGTTTCGTCTCTCCTCCAAGAGACTTCTTCAGTCTGAGAGTTTCAGGCAAAATTCAGGCTTTTAAGCCCTGCCTCCATGTGACTGATACTCACATCACATGGCTATCGTTGACACCTAATTCACACCTATTGTTAACAGGAGGTGGAGTGATACTGGCAATAGCCGCACTGTAGGAGGGGGACAACTGAAAACGGAGGCCTCCACCTCTGTTTAATGATGGACGGTCTTTCTTCACAAAAATGGCTTCTTTAACTCCTCTCTCAAACCAACGTTCCTCTCTATCAAGAATGAGAACATCCTCATCTCTGAAAGAGTGACCGCTGGCCTGTAAATGAGTGAAAAYTGCAGAGTTCTGGCCATTAGATGTAGCTCATCTCTGTGGCCTAATGCTTTGAACATTGGCCCATGTTGGCAATGATGCTGCTAACATCATTCTACAGAATGCTCAGACCTGCTCAACTTCTGGTGAGGAAGGGGCGTGAAAAAAAAATCATCCACGACTGGCTAAATGTGGAAGCCAGCCAGTTTCCCACACATTTATTCTTTCAGAAATGAAACAGGCAGACGTAGGGGAGAAAGCAGCCAAGCTTGAAGAACAGCACAATGCATGGACGTCTACCTCATATCAAAAAAACAAACTGAAGTAACTTACTTTAGCGATCATCTTTGTGATTCGGTATTTTTTAAGACTTAACTACAAATTTGGTTCTCCGCATAATCTTTAATATGTCCTCAGTAATAAATCGATTTGTTGATGTTTATCCGTGCTAGTGGGACGATTGCTACATGAAGCTGAAGCTTCGGATTCATGAAATGGCTAAAGGGTGATTCCACCTAATTTTGAGCATCTTTAACCCGCTCTAATAAAAACTAAAATACTTGGACATGTCAAACCTGTAGTGGTTTATTCTACACTTTATAGCAGAATATTTAAAACCAAGTTTATGATTTGTGAAACCTTTATTTGATTTTTGAAACTTCAGTAAAATATGTTTTCAGCACATTTTATGCATCTGGACACTAGAGCTGTTTTTAGAAAGGCTATCTTTATCAAATCCTTTCTCATCCCAGGGTTATGCTTTCACAGGGGGTTAATTAATCGCTTATAGACGTCTAAACTTTGTGTTTAAAAATGGTGATTTTGAGTTGTGTTTTCCTGTTTTTGTCACAATAAAGAGGCCTTCATCAGGAACTTCAGTGCTCCGTACAGCCTCCTACAAAGACATTTGGTTGGGGAGGAGGAGAGGAAGGGAGGTGAAGAAGTCGCCAAGCATCCAGCTGAACAGTCCTCGCCTCCTCCTCGCCTCCTCATCACAGAGTTGACCACCTCCTCCTTCCTGCCTTCCATCATGGATCCGCAAAAGGTGATGAAAATAACTGTGGTGTTGGTGGGATCACTTGTACACAAAGCTAAAAATAGACCAGGTCTGCTGAGGTAGATTTCAGAAAACAATAATTTTAAATAAAGGTAAATAATTTTAAAAAGTAATAAAAATTTAAGTACTAAAATTCATAACATCACACCCGACTGAGTCAAATAATTTGGTGTATGAATCATTAAAATAGCATAAAGTAAATAAAGTAGTTTATTTGTACAGCAAAAGCTGTAAACAAAATGACGTGAATGCTGACTCAGCATTATAAAAAAATCACCAGACAAGAGTTCACCTTTAAAAAAAGACGTCTGATTTAGCTCACACAGCTGAAGGAAGTGTCTGTGTGCTTTAGGATGTGCTGCTGTTCTACTACACTCAGTGGTGCGGATTCTGCTCCGTCCTGAATCACGTCCTCATCCAGCTGGCCCGGTTATTCCAGGGAAACGGCAGCATCACTGTGGCCAGGTACCACCTGTCGGCTCTTTGAGCCTCCTTATTCACAGAAAGCCAGACAAAGTAAGCACACGGCTCTGTTTTCAGGGTGAACGTCGCACGTAACGACCTCCCCTGGGAGTTCATGGTGGATCACGTTCCCTCCATTCTTCTGTTTCCCAGGTTCAGGTGAGAATTTTTAGACACACAAAAAAATCTACACAAGAAGGTCCATGTGATGGTGTCAAAATGTTATCTAGTGATAATCTTGTTTTTCTTTGAGGTTACAATATTTATTTTACTTTAATGTCATTTTAATTCACACTTTGGTATTTAGTTTGCTTGTTTTGTGAACACTTGACAATTTTGTCATGAAAATCTGACAAAGGTGTCTGAATTATTGGCTTTTGTTTGCTGTTGAATTTGTCTTTTATTGTCTGTGGAATGTGAATTTAAAATCTCAATATTTGATATAAAAAAGCAATCTCTATCTTCACTCAATATTAACTATAATTAAAAAGTAAACTTGAAAAAAGTACTGACTATACGTTAAATGAAGCTGCTGTGTTTTCTCCTTCAGAAAGCACCTGAGTGTGAACTTTCCCTCCGACCTCCCCATCACGTTACCCAACCTCCTCCGCTTCATCCTGCAGCACTCCAGCACCTTGCGCCCCGAGGACAAACCGTTGGCTGAAGCGCGGGAAGCGGGACCCGGCTCTGTCCACCGCTCAGAATTCCTGGCACTCCAGCGAGAGGTTCAGACTCTGCACCTCGCCCGCGAACGCCTCTCCCAGCAGCTGGCGCAGCTGTGGCGCGATTACCGACGGCTGAAGTTTGACAAGCGCAGCCTGGAGGAGAGTTTGGAGAAGCAGCTCCGGGAGAAGAGCCGGCAGCTGGCCGAAGCTTTGAGGCGGCTGCAGGAGCTGGCAGACACTTCTGAGACGCTGCTGAGCGAGAACCAGCTGCTCAGGGTCCTGCTGAGGGCGCTGAAGGACAGGACAGAGGCTGGAGAGATGGCCGAAGAGGAGAGGACTGAGGCGGAACAGACAAGAGGTCGTGTGGCTTCATGAGGACAAGCGTGCAGGGAACCCAAGCAGTGACTCGGGGAAGGAACAAAGAAACAGAAGCAGCATCTGGAAATGAAGGAATGAGGAAAAAAACTGCAATTAGATGTGAAAATCCTAAAGTAAGCCAATAATTCTTTAGAATAAAGAGGAGAGCCTGCTGACTGGTGGTTAACATGTTCTGGGCTCATGAATGGATAAAATACTACAAAGTGCTTTAAGCCTCTTGACTCATGGAAACACACTTGTTTGGCAATTCAGTTTGACGTATTCATTCATTCATTCTGCGTCTGCCGAGGTCTTACGTCTGGCTTCAGAACACCAACACCACAGTCCAACACTAAAAGGCGAAAATATGAAGCCAACAGACAACTTCAGTTTGTTTCATCCATTTGTCAGCACTGATTTCTTTTTGTACAAGTCTACTGATCATTTACAAAAATTCCAAAATTGTGCCATAAGTCGGGTTACTTTTAAGTTCCTGTTTTCATTCGTTGTAACTAAAAATGAATTTAGAAGTGAAGTGGGATGTTTTACTTTGAGTATTTAAAGGAGAAATTGCCAAGGAAACAATTATTACATTTAACTAAAAACTGTGGAACAAAATATATTTTTTTCTTTTTGCAGGAGTTAATGAAGGACTTTGACATTTTTTTTTGTTAAAGAAAACAAACATATCAAATATGCTCCCGCTCAGTAGTTAAACATTTGCTGTTATTTTTTTTAAATCAGTTTGTTTTGAAAAAAGTGTACACATAATCTTTCACTTGTTCTTTCCAGCTTCATTGGGAACTCACTAATTTCCTGTAAAATGCTAAAGAGGGTAACTAATAAAGCTGAAGTGTGGCACCTGATTTATTTTTAGATTGTTTTATGTTACAATGAGCTTAAGAACACTTGAAATTTTGTTTGTTTTGAAGGGGTTATAATGGGTTTGTTACACTGATCTAGTTTCTACATAAAATGTTTCTATGTGACTATTCAGGTATTACATTTGAGATGCTGCAGTTGTTTACACGTGAAGTATTGCACCGGTTTTTACTGATTAAAAAAATCTTTGAATCTTTCTCACTGTCTTGTTTTGATTCATTGTGAACTGTAAAATAACAGGTGAGTTTATCATGCAACTAAAGTAACCAGGCTTTTTATTACCTTTTCATTTTTACTTACAGAACATAACTTTCTCAAACACTGTAGGACCTCGTGATTCACAACTGAACAATAAACTAGAAACACTTGAGTGGGGGCCGCAATGTCAAGTTAATGTGGTAGAAATCAATAAAACAAAGACTAAAATGCTCTAATTTAGGTCTTAAATGAGATGAATCAGGAAGACTAATCAGGATCTAAACAAAGACCTGCAATAGCTCTGAAACCTGTTTAGTATACTTTGTACTTAAGGCAACACTATGAATTCAACTTTTCCTTAAAGCTGCTTATCATTAGGGTGTAATTTTACTGTGTCAGTGGATAAAAAAAARGCACATTAAGGTCACGGTCCATAGACTGTTCACGTCTTTGTAAATGGGCAAAATTCTTTCCGCTCTCGGAGGAGTAAGTCTCTTTTTCCCTTCTCTCCTGCCCTTCCTTATCTTTCCCTGCTTTGCTCCTTGGAGCCTTCTCTACATTTTTCATCCAAAACCAGAAATTATGGATATTTTAATTTTTATGGATTTGGTTAGCTGGTCTCAATAAATTTTTTGGAACAAAGTTTATTTTTCTTCTTCCATGGGAGGACATGTCAAAGGTGGGACCTCTGTTCTTCTCTGTTCTGGATATATCTGGACTCTGATCACTGGATTCTACAAATTGGCTTGGTGGTCTCCTGGTGTTCTACAAAACAGCGTCAGTGACTTTTCACTTTCTGGCTGACTGACCAACTGGATGGACGGCTGTATTCTATCAGCACACTGACATTTTGCCTTGAGCGAGCTGGACTCGGTCTGTAAGCGGTTCTATTGAGGGTCGCGGGCCGGATGTGGTCCCTGGACTTTGCTGGCCAGATGGAATTCATCTTGGAGAAAGCTGATGGATCGGATCGGCGGAATTTGTCCACACTAATTTGCCTGATTGGATTCGCCACCCTTGAGATGCACAAGCAGACTTTAAAGGCAGATGGAAAATTGTTATCGTCTGCCTGTCCCTTTTGTTCCCAAAACAACTGATTACAGAATACGGATCTCCCCAACAATGGCCTTGATCTGTTGACTAAATTCTTCCTGGCTGGATCTTGTTGACAAGACTCTGCCCCCTCCCTACCTCCTCCCTCCTCCCTCACCAGGCTGATCTGATTTCCTGAGCAAGCTGTGGGCCCACAGAATGAACAGTTTACCATCAATATTCAGAACTTTGGCTGCGCTGGCTTTGGGGACTGGATTCTTCGGGCCCCCTAATCTCAATTACGCCTCTGGCTAATAAATCTGCCATGTGCAGAGGTTTTTTTTCATAAACACCACAGTGTGTCACAGTGTTGATATAATATGATGTTTTTGTTTTTTTCCTCATCTTCCCTTCCCTTGTTTGGTTTTCTGTTTCCAAGAATGGCACCACAGCAGGCAGCCTGTTACTGCAGCTCCACTGTTTTGAGCTACTGTAATGTTCAAATTTACCCACTGTGGGATCAGTAAAGTTTTATCTTATCTTAAAATCAACAAGGGATCAAATAATTATTTCCTCCATTGTATATACACAATTTTTAAATGCTATTGTACAGTACTCAGGTACATTTTCTTTGTTACAGCCCACCTCAGAAATTAAATACATGCTTTTTTAATGGGAAAGTTTTTTTTTCCTGCAATAGTTATAAAATACTAACTTTTCCTCAACATCACATTTTTGTGACTTGTGATGACATACGCAACAAGGCTTTTTGTTGCCCATTGATGAAAAAGAAGTGGTCATTATAATGTCTGTACTGTTGATATGAAACTATCTCACAAACCATTAAATGGATTTTAATGAAACTTTAAAAAACCAATCATTGACACCATGTACAGTATATATCCATGATAAAATTATGGAGTAAGCTCAGTTCAAGATGGCTGCCAGAGAGATGACTTTAGAAAAACAGGAGAGTGGCTCTAACTCGGTTAGTTTGGACGGGCAGAAACACGTGGCGCTAACTGAACAGAGCATTCTCCATCTTCTTTTAGTGTCTCTCAGGAACAAAGACCTTTATGTGCTCGTCCACTTTGTTTGCAGCTTTACTGTACAAGATGTCCCAAAAGCAGAACATTTTTTGAAAGGTTAGGTCAAAACAAGCTTTGAAAATAGAGTTGTTGTAAAATCTAATAAACCACATCAAAACAAGAACAGTAAAAACGTAAAAATCTAGACACATACACAGCAGCTGTTATAAAAATGTCCAATTGTTCATATTTAATTCAACAGAGTTCAGGAAAAGGGGGAGAGAAACTTTATAAAATAAAATCTCAGTGAGTCTGGTTTGGATCTGTTTTATCATTAACAACCTCCTGACTCCAGTTAAATGAATTAAGGCTGGGAGGGAAGGTTTGGTCCAACAGAAAAGTCCTTAGTGAGGACAAACTGTCCACTGTGACGGCAGCAGTCTCTAAAACAGACTGTAAGTATTACTTTTATATAACTTAAGGATAATCAGTTGGAACCACTTGGTTGTAGTTATCTTGTTATTAATAGTTTTAGGATGCAGACTACTGTACTTATATCTGGGTGGCTGGCAAAGACTTACAGTATTTTGTTACACACACAGACAATTGACAGAGTCTGAATTGTTTTTATCAGTATTTTGAAATTGTGAATCCATCGTTGAGCTTCTTGAACTCATGTTATCAGTCAGAATGCACTGTGTTTCTTTAGTTTATTTTTACCTTCACATTTGTTTGTAATAATCTTTTTCTCTACAGGAAAATATCAAACACACAAGTGGCTGCGGCCGGTGAGTTTCAGCAAAATAAACATATTTAAAGATTACTGCAGCTCCAYTGACCTTTTTACAGTTAACAATGCACATGCTCAAAGTCAGTATTTTGTGGTGTGATAGATTCAAGCCTATTTCCTGTTTGTTAAAATCAACTCAGTCTGAACAATTTTCAAATGTACCAATGTTTCAGCTGAGCTCTGCAGACATTCTGACACTTTCACAYGCTGAGAATATTTTGCTATCACAGAGTAAAATACCAATAAAACATTAATAAAAGAACATTTAAGTTTAAAAGTCAATAGAAAAGCAGGATGGCTTGGTGTTTGTTGCCTGGTCATGTACATTGGTAACTGTAAAAAAAAAAGTTCAATCGATTGGAACTTAGCTCCAATTCATGTAAAGTTTGCTGGATTTATTTAGCTTCTTTTCATTTTTTATCTTTGGTATAGTGACAGTGGCACAATTAGGAGACAWTCCAGTTCAGATTTCCTGCCCCAAATGCCATCAGACTGTCCTGTCTGAGGTGGACTACTCTTCTGGTTTGCTCACCTACCTTTTCTGTGGAGGACTCATCCTCTGTGGGTAAATGCTGTTTTATTTAGGCTCTGGCAGCAGAGGACTTTTCCCATGAACCAAACAAGAAAAATGAACATAATTACCATCAAGTTATCTCATTTTAATATGTCAGAAGCTAAGATTTAAGCTTTTATTTGACAATTAGGTTTTATTTTACTGATTTGAAAGTTAAAAAAAAATATGATAATATGAGTTAATTAGTCATTTTAGAGTCAGATGTGTTTTACTCCRGTAGTTTACAGGCCAGGCTAAATTGGTCAATCTGCGATTTGTCTTAGATTAGAGATTATAAAAGAGCATTTTAAAGAGGCTGAATCTCTTGAAGTAAAGAGGGGTAGCTTCACCAGTCTGCCAAATACATTACAGAAAAACTGGGAGGACTATATGTCTGCACAAAGGACAAGGTCAAAAGTCCACATTAGATGTGATCCTCAGGCCCTCAGGGGCCACTGCATTAAAAATGAGTCGGATTCTGTTCAGGCGTGGGCTCAGAAACACAGTTTTATGTGTCATCCACAAAAGCTTTAATGCTTAAACATTTAGTTTCAGTTGATGGCTGTTCAGTGGGAGCTAAAGTGGAATGACGTCTGTTGTTTATTTTTGTGTGTATTTAGACACAAGTCAATGACAGAATCTGCTTCCCTCCCCAGTTTTGTTTTGGGTTGCTGCCTCATCCCGTTCTGCGTGGATCGTCTGAAAGATGCCAAGCACACCTGTCCTACCTGCAAGACTGTGCTTGGAGTGTGTAACCGCTTATAACTAATACAGTGGCTGCAACATTAGATATACAGGGCGAGTCAAAAGTTTTGTTTCAGAAAGGGAAAATTACAGCAATAGGTGAGGAGGGGCTTTCTTTTAGGCTGTGACCAGAACATGGCTGCCATTTTGAAAGCCGCCATATTGAATCAAAATAAAAGGGTTTTCTGTGACTTTTGACTCGTCCTAAATAAAATTAATCTGCAACTGTTGTAATCAACTAAGATTTTAAAAAAATAGTCTAAATGGGATGCACCTTTAGCTCCAATTAAACTTCTTTGAYTATTTTGATATTCCACAATTGATGTTCACATTAACGAATTAAAAAAATAGAAGTTTACTTATAAAACTAAGATTATAATGTTTTTTTTGTCCTTTTGGTATTACTAGATAAATGAAAGTGTGTGATCATTTGACTCTTCCATTCTTTGAATATAAATAAATTATGACCCACAAATGAGTTTCAGTTTTTATTTGTTGTTAATCACATAAGAATCTTGAAAAAGGTGAGTGCTTTCTTTTCACAACAGTTTCATGAAACAGATACAGCTGAAACTCATAGTTTAGAAAATGGCGACTGTATATTTATCCTATTTTTTCTTTTGGTTATGCATATATTTTGGATGTATGATGACAATTTTTCATTTTAAATAAGAACAGACTTTTAATTTATGAGGCCGTCAGCACCTAATTTAAAACTCGTTGGTTTTTACTTTTATACATAATCATCCATTAAAGATATTGCTCAGTATTTGATAAAAAGAGATGCTTTATGTTGTAATATTTTCTAAAAGAAGAAAGCTCTCAAAATGAATACATGTTCCTATTAACAAAATGTAACAATAAAACTTAATTTGGATCCTAAAAGCAAAGTGCTAATGTTTCAGAACAATTCAACAAAATGATTAAACACTCAAAAACACAATATTTACATCGATTGTGTTTCATCAGAATATCTTCACCATAATTTCCTTCAGTAAGTCATAAATAAAATTATTTCACCCTGTTATTATTAAATTACTGATTTTAATCTCCAAATTACAAGAATCAGGCCTGTGCTTCTTCACAATAAAATCTGCTGAGCAGAGATGAGGAGCGTGATGAAAACAAGGCAGGAGAAGCCAACATCGGCTTGGATTCGGACTCCAGCGGCTGAAACAGAAACAAACACATATTTTAAGGATTACTACCCACTAATGGTCAGGCTTAAGTTAAAAAAAAACATATTACTTTTAGATGTTTATACTTATATTTAGTTTTTGTCATTTTTTCCACATTGTACAAGTTTTTGTTTACATGCAATCTGAGGCTGTTACGCATTGTTAAAGCAATGCTTCAGAGCTTTTGAGGTGGGGATCCAGTGAAACTCTATAAACAATTAGCATCTCACCTCTTGCAGATAGCTATTTGAACAGCCTCAATTTGGAGGAACAAAGTTTAATTCTGACAGGGCAAGACCAAAACGTATTGCTCGTCTTAAACGTCTTATAGCTAAGTTTTTCTTTTAAATTATTTTTTAATAGTTTTCAGCTCTACATTTTTGATGTTGGAGTTTTGTACATTGTTAGTCTTCACAAAAACTTGTCCTGATGCATCTCAGTAATCCAGGTAGAAAAAAATCAAAAAGAAAAAAAAAAGTAGGTCCTCTGGATGGGTTCGTCTTTAGTGAAACGTTTCGTCTCTCCTCCAAGAGACTTCTTCAGTCTGATGAGTTTCAGGTGAACTCAGCCTTATAAGCACTGCCTCCACATGAGGCAGTGCCACAATAGGCTTGATTAGCTCTAGTTAGTCACATGCAAAAGAGGGCCATCGTTTAGCTTACTGTTAAGCCTATTGTTAGTCGATGGCCCTCTTTTGCATCTGACTAACCTGTTTGTCCATGAGGAGGCAGTATTTATAAGGCTGAGTTCACCTGAAACTCATCAGACTGAAGAAGTCTCTTGGAGGAGAGACGAAACGTTTCACTGAAGAAGAAACCATCCAGAGGACCTACTTATTTTTTTCTTTTTGATACACATAAACTTGTTTTAAGGCAGCAGCAATCCACTTAGGTCTTGGCCCCACATAGATCAGCTGTTTGCTCATCAGTCTGGTCAGAAATAGACTTTGACATCTACACCTGATTTATAATCTCTCCATAGAAACCAATGTAAAAAAATATCTGAATGTCAACATTTTTAATCCTTTAGAACTTTTAGCTTAAATTTGTCTTCATCTCTCAGTGGTGGAAACTAAACATTAGGCACTCCACAGCATCATGTCCAGATTCAATTGCAACATAAAAAAATATTTCCTGTAAAAGTCTCTTCCTATATCCTTTCACAAGCTGACACCTTGTTTGTCCGCAAGTCTGACAACAGACGAGCAGCAAAGCTAATGATGCTAAACAAAACAAGGATATGGCCAATAAGAGCTGTTGTTTCCTGAACTGTGTTTAGCACTACTATTGCACTACTTTTTCAGGACTCACCTTTAGTCGTGGAGGAAGTTGGTTTTGCGGTTGTGATGGAGGCAGTTGCTTTTGTAGTTGCAGTGGCAGCTGTTGTTGATGCAGTGTTGGCAGTAGTCGGGGTTGTTGTAGAGTTAGAAGCTGAGGATAATGTAGAACTGGAAGATGAGGATGGAGCTGCTGAACTGGAGGATGAGGATGAGGCTGTAGAGTTAGAGGCTGAGGATGAAGCTGTTGAACTGGAGGATGAGGACGAGGCTGTAGAACTGGAAGATGAGGATGGGGCTGTAGAGTTAGAGGCTGAGGAGGAAGCTGTTGAACTGGAGGATGAGGATGAAGCTGTTGAACTGGAGGATGAGGATGGGGCTGTAGAGTTAGAGGCTGAGGATGAAGCTGTAGAACTGGAAGATGAGGATGGGGTTGTAGAGTTGGACGCTGAGGATTGGGTTGTGGTGGAAGTTACAACATCAGCCCTCCCGACGAGACCCAATCCCAGTGTGTCAAGCTCTGACTGCAATTGGCTGGAGGTCCAATTCTGAACCACTGTTACGTTTTGATATAGCTTCAAGTCTGGGAGGTTGATACCAAGAAGCTTTTTAACTTCACTAACTGTCAGACCCTAAAGAGAACAAGCAGATCCATTTTATACACATACCCAAATGCACATAGCGAAGAAAAAAAAGTGACCAAGTACAAGTTCCACACTCACTGATACATGCAACACTTACTTGTATAATGTTCTCATTCATTTGAATGAAAGTCGGCAGATCCATGCTTACATTGGAATTCACCAAACTTTTGATGTATTCCAAAGATGCACCACCTGCAGGACAAAAAAATGAATAAACAGTGAGCTCGCTGTCACTGTGCTTAAATGAAGGTTATAAGCTGATGTGTGTGTGTGTGTGTGTGTGTCAGTCAGTCAGCCTACGGATGTAAGGTTGTTGGAGCTGGTAAGCAGAAACTGGGATGGTACTCAGACGGTTAGTGAGAAATGCTGCTGTGGAAATGTTGAATAGCATTGTAGCTTTGTCGTTGGTGCAGCTGGACACATTCAAGGAATTTGCGTTTCTGAGAGGACAAAAAATGTGTAACATGCTTTTTAATTACGAATGAAAGCAAAAAAAAAACATAAAAAGACACCCAGTTTTAGACATACAAAGCTGTAGTTTAGAGTATAAGTAGCCAAAAACAATCTTTGCCAGTCTCTAAATTGTAATATGATGTAAATGGCAAAAGTTCAGCCATTTTAAAACTTATTGAAACAAAATTTGTTGTCGAGTAGCTAAGAATGATTACATGCCAATTGTCAGTGCTAATACCAAATTAAGCTAATCACTAATATTACATTGAGCTAAAATGCAGACATTTTTAAATATACACAACAAAAAATGTATTTAGAGAACAATCTTTAACAAAATCTAAATCCAAATAAAACAATCTAAGATCTCCACCCTTTTGTCAATTATTTTGGGATGGCACCTGGGTGGCCAATAATGTGCCAAGGATGGCACTTGCCACCCCGGCCACCCCTCTAGCTCCACCCCTGTCCAAAGGACCTATAGAGTTATTAACTTCTTACTTGAGGCTTTGTGGTGAGATGCTCCTCAGAACATCAACATCCAAGGCGCATAGATTTGGTCCTCCAATGACATTAAGCTCTGCACTGCCCAGGGTGTTTCCTCCTACACTCAGGTATTTAGAGATAATGGCTTTAGCCTGGAGGAGATGAACACACACTGATGAGAATGAGTGGTTTTAAATGTCTGCACAACATATTTATCATGTGGGCTCACCAAGCTGGGGTCCCACTCTCCATTTGCTGAGTCCATCAAAGCAGCCAGCGTGTCGATCTGAGTGATGTTCCACAGGTTGATGTCACTGAGGGTGGCAACACGGGACGCCGGGCCCAAGACCTGAACCTGATATTCTGGAATGGTGGCGCTGTAGGCCTGCAAATGTGTGTGAACCAGTTAGAGGAAATTCAAAGTTAAAGGGTTCTGTCAGATACAGTAAATGTCACTACTTAGTACCTATCACAGAGAAATGGCAGAAACAGCTAAACATTTTTATTAACCACCTCTGTAGAGGTTTATGCTTAGCTAATGAAGCGCAGACATACAGTATTTTTGAGAAAGACTTATTTTCTACGGCTGAACAACATCATAAAATGGGCTCTCATTCACAGGGTTCCATCAGTTTAAGGCAAGTTAAATTTAAGACTTCTTAAGACTTTTTAATGCCAAGTGAAATTTAAATTTAAGACCAATTTCACAATAAACACAAATGACAAAAAAAAAAAAAAACTGTGTCAGAAACTCATGAATCAAAGTATGCTTGGTTAAGTATTCAAATATTGCTAATAGACAAATTGTTTTATTCAAATTGTTTTAACTGCTTTTTCATCAAATATAGCAAAAAAAATTCTTAGCAGTCAGTTTTAAACTTAATTTAATTTCTGGAAATCCTCTAACGACTTAAAATTTGGAGTTTTAGGACCCACAGTGGGGTCTTAATCCCAAATTGCTGTAGATGAAGCCTTAAAGTGCCTGTGACATCGAATGTTTTTAAGAGGTGTGAATGCAATTTTGGAAAGACAACGTTATTAACATAATACGAAACGAATTTCACATTGCTCATATGGACAGTTGTTGAGATATTTGTATGTGAAGTAACTGGAAGTGATGTCAGAGGGGAATGTCTGCTTTTGAATATTTAAAAAATCAATTAATGTTACCAATAACTTTAATATTTGAGAGGCATTACAGTCAACCTATTTACAATGCTTTAACATTTTTAAGACTTCTGAAAGATTGATTTAAGACATTTTAAGGCAAATTAAGGCCTTATTTTTGGATTGATGAATTCAAGGCCTTTTAAGACTTTTTAAGGATCTGCAGGAACCCTGCATTCAGTACCCCTTTTTATAGTAACTGGGTTAAGGGTATTTCGGGTCTTTTAAGTGGGGTTTGAAGAATTCCATCTGACCTTTATTACTTTATGTTACTGACCTCTCTCAGCTTGCTGAGGACAATCTGGAGGTAATCCTTCTGATCCACCTTCTGAGTGATGGCCTCCAAGTTGTTTTTGACGGTAGCAGCAGTGAGGCAGATGTTGAACTGACTGATATCATCATAGTCAAAGGGAAAGGTGGTGTCACTGATAGTCACCTGAGTGATCAGCCCTACGGTGCACTCAGTGACTGAAACAAGAAAGAAAAAAAGTTAAAATCATATTACTTTACAAAACTGTGTGAAGCGGGTAAGCAGCTGACCTGTAGCTCGTTTTATCCTAATGATGTTAGATTTTCTTATTTCACTCTTCATTCTCCCTGCCTGTTGGCGACTCACTCCATTCCTCCTGATTACTTTCAGGAAATKTTTCAAGAAAATGCGCTTTGCTTTCTGTGAAGGAAAGAAAARCAGGAACCGTCACCAATCTCACTCAAATTCCATACTTGAGGCTTTTTCTGATGAAGTATAAGCGTTAAGGCCCYGTCASACTGACRTTTTAGACAACTTATGCAATTTTTTTYCCAACACGTTGCTKTAAATTGTACAAGTTAGGTGTAAGTTGTGAATATGTTCTCAGAATAAGGGCCACACTGTGGATCTTTTCTGACAGCTGGTTTAAAAATATCTGCCAGYTTTGTTTTGCTCTCTGCTAATTATTTTTTATATTTTAAAACTCCGTCTGACAAATATATTATTTTTTGTGAGCTCCGCTCTCGGACTTCTTCCCTGACGTGTTGACAGCTGTCWGTCAATCATCGAAGGACACGCCCAGATTCTGACAGAAGTTACGTGTCCTTCATAATTACCCAGCTCGTTTCTGACAAATGTCCACATGTGAGCAACTTTCTTGTAATGTGTGAACATTTATGTGACCCATCACATCGAAACGAGGATTAAGTCTAAAAGTCGTTAATGGAGAATAGGCAAATATAATGTTTTCATTAAAACACTTACTGTAGTGTCCAAGAGTGGGGGCCTCTTCTCAGGAATGCACATATGTGATGCCTCTTTGTTTCCAGCTTCAGAGCTCGGCACATATTACCATATTAGGAAGAAGGTATACCATGACAAAATTTATGGTACATCTGTGAAGCCTGTAAAGAGCCTTGTACGCCCCCACTCTTGGCCTTCGTTCTCCATCTTTCTTACTTGGTGAATCATTTGGCATTGAAGGCCATAATTTGGTTKTTGRCTGKAATCTCCTGGACTGCAAAATAAAGATTCTTGCTGTTCAACCAGCCTGTTTCAGAGTTCTCTCTTCATTGAGCAACAGCAGTTCCAMTTCAACCAGAAGACATGGTTTTTTTCACCTCACTTACAAAAATTGCATTTAGTCAAAATATAACAAATAAATGCCTTATCAATGTTTTATTTGAATGAACTGTATGAAATATACTCATACACGTTTTTAAGCACTTTTTTGAGCAGTGGCAACAAAAAACCTGGTTTTGAGGAAAAACGCCTTTAAAATTTTGAGATTTACCCTGTAAGCTAGCAATGTTTTTGTTTATTTCCAAATGTCAGTGTTCAAATACTGTTTGAGGTTTCCTCTTTATAATGAAATGAAAAATGTCTCATAAAATTTACATAAAATTAGGATTCAGACCAAATATTAATGCATTATTGTAACCAGCAAGACAAATTAAGCCATATCTCCATTTATGATATCAGGATGATTCAGGTATTAAAATGTAGCTTTTAAAGCCAGGAATCTGAAAATGTAATTAAGCCATTTTGACCAAATTTGACTTAGTCCTCATTTCGATGTGATGGGTCACATATTTAATTGACCTGGAATGTGTGTAAAACTGATYAGCAACAGTTCTGCATAACAGCTACAGTGAAAAGTTTAAGCTCAAAATTCTGCGCTGGGATCTCCGTATGACAACGTATGCCCTCTTATATTAACGTGTTGGTAAATTATCCTTAAATTATGCCTAAATTCCATCAACATGTTGTAGATTGTTTTATAAGTTGATGCTGCATCACTGTATGACTGCTGCCGACAGGACATTTTCCTCCAATACGCTGCGCAGCGGTTCTGCAGAAGTTCCACTAAAGTTGCATAAGTGCAGCAGAAGTCCAAGCATGTTATAATATGCTTCTACACATTATGTTTAAAGGTATGGAAAATTTACTTTTTATATCTGTTCAAGTTGTTAGCAAGACGGTATGATCACGTCCAAAAGAAGGTGCCAATTGATGCTTTTTCCCTCTTCCTCAGCATGTGCCAGCATGTTGGACAACATTTGCAGATGTCACATAAGTTGTCTAAAACGTCATAGTGTGACAAAGCCCCTACTCACTTTGCTGAAGTTAATATAGAAAGTTGAGGTCAAATACAATGGCAGTGGCTCAAGGCTGATCAGAGTTTTCTCATTCCACGTTGAAGGAGCTCTGTTGAAAAGTTAAACAAAAACTGTTTATTCTGCTAGTGTTTATTATTATTATTATTATTATTATTATTATTATTATTATTACTCAAAAGGTAGAAAACTAAACATTTTCTAGACTTTTTGTCAAACGACATTAAAGCTAATTTTCATGTTGCTGTGGACTTACCCATATGTTGTGTTTCCACCAATCAGCAGAGTTTCCACTGCAGCTGCTTGAGCGCTGGTCAGATCCGGACACGCCTTCAGTTTCTCCAAGATGGATGGATCAGAGTTCACGATGTAGGATTTATCCAACATGCAGCACATGTTTCCCAACACTGAGATGTTGTCTTGAGTCAAGCTCGTGTTTGTTATACCCTTTGATGGAAAAATATTAGACGTATATGCAACATACTCCAATAAAACTCATTGTGCCTATATTTAATAAAGTCTTGAAGTTTTTATTTGTTGTTAGACTCCTGATTAATTTACGTCTCTTCAGACATACCTGACATGTTTTGACGTTATACTTTCATCTTCATCACAGCTGATGTTCTCAGTGTCAGCTGTCAAAACCTTTAAGAACATCAGCTGTGACACCTCTGATGAAGACAGAAGTATAACGTCGAAACATGTCAGGTATGTCTGTAGAGACATAAAATGATTAAGTGTCTAATAACAAAAGAAAACTTCAAGGCTTCACAACTGCAACGTTATCTAAGCGTTTAAAAGGCTAAACAAAATATGCATTAAATGCAAAAACGTTTGTAGTTTTGCTTCTCTTATTTTCTAAAAGAAGTCTTTATTTTGAAAGGACTTCTGTGTTGATCTGCCCAACATGGATAGGTGCCAGAAACAGTAAGGACATTTTGGCTGTTTGTGAGCTAAACTGATCTCACAAACCATATTTGATTAAAAAAAGTTGTTTGTCTGCATTTTGATGCAAAAAAAAATCTAAACTGCCCTCAAAATGTATGACTGGCAGGATCAGCCAAAGCCTTTGTTGCAGAAATATTTAATATTTCACACCGTTAAGAGTCCGTGCAAGAGAGCAATTTAGGTTTCAGAAGATTAATCAGAAGTAGTCATTAGTTTTTACATTAGACTTTTAATTTGTGTGCTTCAAACTATGGTTATATTTTTCTTGGTTAGAATTAATTTGGAAACTGTCAAACAAACCCAATGGACTAAGTTTTTCGATGTATCTTGAATCTTTATGATGACTGATTTTGTAATTTCAAAAGGGACATGCAGTTATTTAGTTTCAGTAAACATAACATATTAATTCTCTCATTGCTCACTGGTGATCAGTAGTTTTTAACTTGTTTGTGCTTTATCACTTTCTATATTTGTATAACTCATGCTCCTGGATGTGTTTTTAGTGTAGCTGATGATTTAAAAAAAAGATRTATGTTTACTTTTTTATACACAACAAATATGATTGTTAAATTAACACTTATAGTGCTGATTTAACACTAAATGGTTAATCTAACACTCCAAGAGTAAAGTCATTGATTTGAAACATTATTTAAATGTTTTTTAAATAATAAAAAAACATTGATTTGTTGTTTTGTCTGTATAAACTTGAGACATTTACGGTGATGCTCTTCATATTCTTACCAGGCAGCTCCTGGCGTTGTCAAACAGAGCGGTCTGTTTGTAGCTGAGAGCTGAGGAGAAGATGGAGAAGTCTGCACTGCCCAGCTGTGTAAAGTAAGACCTGCAGCTGCTCTGCGGCACCAGTGAGTAACTGAACAGCGACATGGAAAACACAACCGTCACATCGTTGAAGAAAAAAACTGTTTCTGATGTGAAACAAACACAAACACAGATCCTTACTCATAGTAAAGCAGCATATCTACAGGGTAGAGATCAAAGCTGGTGGCGTCTGAGTCTCCACTGATGTAGTTGTACATGCAGGTCAACTGGTAAGATGTAAAATTTACTTTATTATTTACTGTAAACTCATTTCATCCTCATGATTTGTATTTTAATGTWTTTTTTATTTTCCTCCCAAATTGTGCTACAAAGACATCAGTCACCAAAACAACCTTCACCCACCTGAGACTCCTGCAGTGAGACTTTGTTCTGCGTCGTCCTCCTGCAGGCTTTGATCAGCTTCTTGACCTGCGCTCTTGAAACTGTACTCACGCTCGTGCACGTAAACCCTTGCAGCACAGAGGAGGTCAAACTGCACACAATCGCACGCTCTGAGTTACAGACTGCCCTGGTTTAAGAATCGCAGCCGATCTCTTAAAAACCGTACTCACTTGTCTGGACTTCCCAGAACAGCTGTGGCACTTTCCACGGCGATCACATTAAAGAACAGCTCAGCCTAACAGCACAAACACACAGAGGCGTGAGTGTGTACTGACAACACGGACAAATACCTGATGGAAAAACCTTTCCTTACTTGCTCTTTCTTCCATGTCTTCCTGTTGAGTGTGGTGACGACACTGTTGCTGACTGTGTAGCCCTGCAGCAGAACTCGAGGGATCTCAGCGGCCAGTTCATCTGGAACGTTCTGTATGATCATCTCGTTGTTGTTGTTTGCTGATATGATCTGACAGAAGGATGGAGGGTGAGGAAGTGTTGGAAAACTGAACTTGAAATTTGTTTGTCTGAATCCGGCTGGTTAATTTATAGATCAAGCTTTGAATTTGCTTTAAATCTAATGAAATGGCTGTTTTTCCTATTTGAAATGTTCATTTTCCACTCAGTGCACTTAATTAACTGCAACGACTCCAATGGAGTTAGAAAGGAGAGGAGAAAAATATTTGAATCATTTAGAAAAAAATATACTTTTCACTTGTCAGAAAAAGTTCAGATAACTAAGGTTTCCCATTATTTATTGGAAAAGGTTGTTTAGATCTTTTGAACAGACTTTCTGTGAAAAGAGTATGAACAGTTAATATCTTACATGTACATAGCACCTTGAGTAGACTTACATTGGAGAAATTTAGTTTATTTTTGACCAGACTGAGGAGCTAATGGCTAATCTGAGCAGAACCAAGACCAGAGTGGATTATCATTGTCTCACCAGTATTTTGACCGAAACACAATAATGCTCCTGCCAGAATTGTACTGGGCTCCACCAACAGTGCTACAGATGGCTGCTGCCGCCATTATTTGCGCTTTTGATACCCTTTTTTGTAAATAGCCACATAAAGTACAATATACAGCAGTGTAAAGGTTCACAGAATAGTGTTTGCATGCCATTTATGAGATTCTAGTTATACGAGAGCAGAAATATAAAGCTTGACCCCGCCCAGACAAGCTGTTAGCTCATCAGTTCAGTCAGAAATGAACTGGGGTTACTCAAGGAACTAGCTATAGCAGGTAAGATACTGTTTGTTCATTGCCTTTCCACAGAAACACACTTCAAACAATCAGAATTATAACTTAAAGTAAACAAGATGTAAAATTTTTACTTTGTGTGTCATATTAAGTTCTGCAGAATGAATTTGATCATCGGATTTGCAATTTTTTTTGTATTATTTGTGTAGCCTATTTTATGTTTGTTTTTTTTTGGGGGGGGAGGGGGGATTCTTCTTCTGGGTATAAGAAATGAAATGTCTGTACTATAGATGATGAAGTCATACCTGAGTGACAAAAGTCTGCTGAATAACATCTGGAGCAGACTTTATGTGGCTCACAACAGAGGATTGTTTGGATGCCGTCAGAATCTCGGAGCTGCTGATGCTGAGGAAGACTCTGGAGGGAACGCCCACAACAAGAGTGCCCAGCGTCACCAGGGAGGATGAGCCGTTCACCTGGAGGGGTTTAAATAAACGAGATGAGGCGGTGTACAAGCAGCAGATTATGAGCAAAGAAAAAAAAATCTAAAAAATTTGCTCACAGACTTTCATCTGTGAAAGCACAAGTTACCTGGAAAAGCCCTGAAGACAACAGCGACTGGATGATGACCCTGGTCTGTCCTTCGCTCCAGCCCATCACACTGGCCAGAAAGCTCAGGGCATTCCTCAGGTTCTGAGGCGACATCATCCCGAGCTGACCCATGGATATGCCGGTGCTTTGGTTTCCGAGGGCAGAAATGGTCRTGGCATCGATGTTGTCACCGAAATTACTCGCCAAAGCAGCAGAGATCTAAAACRTGTAAGAAGCGAGGATGATCAACTTTTGAATCGTTACAAAATAACACCTTGTGCAACAAAATCTGAGAAGACTCTAAAAGTAAAAGTGACRATCCGGCAAGAAAACTGAACCAGGGCCGAATCTGTTTATGTATGACTGCACCTGTGGGTCCAGGTCCACACAGACCGTGGTGAGGTTCTGCAGAACAATCATACTGTCTCCTGCACTCAGTTGAGTGAATGCTTGACCGGGAGCGACGCAGCGACACAACAGAGGGAGACTGCAAAGAGGATTAAAAACAGCCGTCACACAGGGGAACATGAAGACCACATCTGAAACATGTGTGGTACTCAAACTGTGGATGTGGGCGCAGCATGATGTCAGCGTGTTTAACTCACAGCAAGGGGTTGAAGTTACTGTCCTGCTGATAAACCAGCTGGGTGTAGTAGTCTGTGAGGTCCTGAGGTAAAGCCGAATGGTTGAGGAGCGCGATGTTCAGAGGGTTCACCGTGAACACCTGAAGAGCCTGCAGGGAGAGGAAACAAGTCAATCCATTTGTCCCAAATCTGTTTTGAAGTCCTGTACCAGTGATGCCCAATCCTGGTCCTCGAGTGTCACTGCTCTGCATGCTTTAGATGTTTCTCTGCCCTGGCACACCTGATTTGAGTGAATGAGTGATACAGGCTTCTGCAGAACATGTAGACAAGCTAAAGAGCATGAAAACAACTAAAACATGCATAGTGGTGCTAGAGGACCAGAATTGGGCACCAGGGTCCAGGACTGCTCTGATTCTGTACCTCTTCAGRTCCAAATGACTGAAGAACCTCCAGCGTGAGGAAGGACATGAACGGGCCGATGTATTCAGCAAACCAAGCCGTGGAGTTCAGTTCTGAGTCGTTGGCGTCGTAACATCTTGGTGTAGTTTCTGCAACAACAAATTTTAAAAGTATTAAACTGCAGACTTTAAGCCTTTAATATATGTCATTTATTATAACATAACTGTTTTTTGTTTGATATATAACTAAGAATATACAAGCTGTTACTAAAATGTTGCACAGAACTGTTTTATTATCGGCAGCCAGAGGTGGAGGGGGGTGACCATGGCCTGCCATGATTTCTCATGATGTAATTCTAYGGGGTGAGAGAATGACCAAGAAACACAATMASATTTTTAACATGTTAACATGTAGGGATTTTTGTTTTCTGGGTCACCCTTGTGTGACCAGTGGTCCCAGTTTGGCCACTCCTATGAAAACTGCTTTCGTCAGCCACTGAAAGCAAATTWGGAGCGAAAATGTTTTTTAAAGTGTCTGTTTGTCTGAACCACCAGCAAGTCATCCTATGAGTTACTGAACTTTTTTTCAAGTAATCATTAGGTTAACCTCTGCAACTGCATATATTTTTAAATTAAACCTGATCCAACATGGCCGCCGCAACAAAGCGATCTTAGCAAACACACAAACATACTACAACTNCAACAAAGCGATCTTAGCAAACACACAAACATACTACAACTGAATTAGTTTTACAGATACTAAGCCAAAACTTCGAGTGATAGTAGCTGAGCATCACTGAGTGCAACACAATGCAAGACACCTTTGGAGTCAATCATATTTGTCTCATGAAACATTATAAATAGCTTACAAATCACATAAAATATTGCAATAACCCTTATTTTTAAAGTTTTACCAAAAAGAGACTGAATGGTGGCGGGTAATGTGCATTCCTTCAAGGATTGTTATTATATATTTTTTTTCATTAATGGGTTCAGTGAAAATAAATCTCAATAAATAATAGTTTTTTACAAGTAGTGGGTTTTATTAAATGTAGAATATGCAATGGTTAAACGTGGTAAAAAAATTGAATTAAAATAGACTGACCTGATGTAAGATAGATCCTGATGGTATCAAACACATCTTGCCTCTGAAAATCTGCTGCTGTGTAGTTGAATTTATCAAGAACCAACACGCTGAAATGACAAAGATTAACTCAATTTAGGACAAACACACACAAAAACCTTAAAAAGAGAAAAAAGGTGACACAGTGTCATACAGTTTTTGGAAGGCCACACAGGAAGCGTTGTTTGTGGCGTYGGAGCTGAGCAGACCCTTCGTGAGGAAGACCAGGTAGTTTTGTAGGCTCCTGTCAAACCAWAGGTTGACCTCTGACCTGACGGGGGTGCTGAGGGCCAGGGGCCAGACGCAGGACAGAGTGGGTCGTCCCAACTCGGCTGGCAGAGACTCCTTTTGGAAATGTATTGGTTTTTGTGTTTAAYTTCATAAAGAGTTCACATTCCTGAGTGTGTACAGTATGCTTGCGGAACTTACGGTCGCCAGGAGCATGGCTGTCTGGCGGTAGCTGTTGTAGAGCTCACAGAGCTGAGCGGCATCATCCACAACATTTGGCCGGCGCAGGAAATCTCCAAGTTGTGAYGGAGGTATGGAGTTTATCAGCTGGAAGAGCAGAAATCAGAAAACGTGTCATTCTGCCTGTTTTTATGTGTGTTTACTCCTGACAGCCTCTAACTCAACACACCTGAGGCTTTCGGCTCTGAGGCATGAGGGACAGGAAGGTCGTCAGGTTGGGGAACTGGAACTCCATAAAMGAGCGCTCGATGAAAGCGTAGAAGCTGACGTTGTAGTTCCTGCCATAGCAACGGAGGGGTGGTGGGCCTGTCAACGACATGTTTTTAAGGCCTTGAAAATGTGGGCAGCCCTAGTAAAAATCTTATTACAATGAACATTTAATACATTTTTTACAAGAAAAATTGCATTTTTTACTGTTTTTATTGCAGGTTAGACATTAAAAACTGGGTTAAAGGGATCCATGATTAGTTGTAACATTAGACTTTATTTGACAAACATATATTTTAACTGTAAAACAAAGACTGTAAAAATACTGTAGCTGTTTAGTTTTGGAAATTTTTAAACTAAAAGTTTAAAAATATATTACACGGATGGGGCCATTTTATTTACATGCAAAGCATTCTGGGTAAATTATGACATAGATAGGTCCTCCGTGTGAGTGAGCTATATCCACCCTGAAGGTTAATCTTGGACAATATCTGATGATCGACTCTTTTAAATGAAACCAGAGAGCGTTGACAGAGAGGAGAACGTAGAAATGACTCAGCCTGTAACTGAAAATATGGATGGAGGGCCTTGGTTTAGCTTGGTAGTTTGTCGCGCTAGCACCGAGCTAATACAATAAGGCAATATAGCGTCGGCTAACAGGCTAAGCTGAGGTTCTTCTTCCATGAAGCAGCTCTGTTGTCCTCCATGTCCTCCAACCTCACAGTGCTTCAGTAAAGAAAGAATGAGCTTTGACCTCTTTTGTGGTCCCAAGTGCAGCACAGTGTTTGTTTTTATGTGTTTTCCACAAAGCTGGTCCAGTTCTCTAACAATCCAACAAGCAGTTTAAATGTTTCAGAACCTGATTTTCAGCCCGGCGTCTTTACCTTGCAAAGCCTGGATGATGTGGTTGTAGATTTCTTGCTGTGAATCTTTACTCAGAGTAGCTATAGTTGAGTTAAGGTTCGCCACACTGAAATAAACAAAATAAAAACATACAAAAAAAGTCCTGATTTTTACTCTGGAACCAAAATACGAATCATTTTTACTCAATTGCTTTTTTTTTCCTGCTCACCCCTGCTGCTCGATGCTGCAATTTCGTCCTGTCAGTATTTGAAAGTACGGAGCGACGTGAGCAGGCGACAGGTTGATCAGAAGAGGAGGCAGTCGCTGCCAGAGCCACAGCGACACGACCGAGTCATCCACCCAGGGAGAGGAGAGGTTTGCACGGTTGAACACCACGTCCAAAAAGGCAGATCTCACGGGAGAAGGCAGCATGTTCTCATGACCCTGCAGGAAGAGATGGAATGTGATAAAACCATCATCTTTAAATACAGGTGGGTTTTTTTGACTTGATTTTATTTAGTTTTCAGATGCCAGCCTAAAGCAATAGTTCAGATCTTTTATTGTTTTTTGGGTGGGTATTTATGTACGTGTGGGTCTGGAGGGGTTGCCAGAACATGGCAGCAYGACTTCATCTGACTGAAAAACAGGATTTCTGAAATTGATTTTTGGACAGATGAGGCAGATGTTTGACCTTAACTTGCAGTGCCATCAGCACCAACGCTTCATACCAGCTGTGAAGCACGGTGGTGGAGAGCTGATGATTTGGGTTTGTTTTGGGCACCCTGAAGTTGCTGAGTCGACCATGAACTCCCCACTGAGCAGACAGATTCGGAGTCAAGCTGGCACCACTGGCTGTCTGCTGGT